TAGAGATGCATCTGTCAGCTGTCCTCCATGCACCACTTTGTACTGTAGCCCATCGTATGAGTTCCGGATAATGCTGACAGTCTTCTGAAGAACTACATAGTGTCGAAGAAGTTCCCATAATGTTCTCCTGTCCACACTGTCAAACTCCTTCTCATAGTCAATGAAGTTGACGTATAGTGATCAGTTCCACTCAACTGAATGTTCAACGATGACCTGTAGTGTCGCAATCTGGTCTGTGCACGACCGATCCTTACGGAATCCAGCCTGTTGATCCCTAAGTTCTGCGTTTACCGAGTCTTTAATCCGGTGGAGCAACACTCTGTTAAAAACTTTTCTTAGTATTGATTACAAACTGATGCCTCTGTAATTCTCACATTTGCTCAGATCTCCTTTCTTTGGTACCTTGATGAGGTATCCTTCTTTCCAGTCCGTTGGCACTCGCTCCTCTTCCTAAATCTTCTTGAAAAGAAGGTGAAGCATGTTTGCAGTTACTTCAATGTCTGACTTCAGTGCTTCGGCTGGTATATTGTCAGGTCCTACCACCTTACCACTCTTGATTTGTCTGATGGCTATCTTGACTTCTTCGATCGTTGGCTGAGTGACATCTATAGGAATATCTGTGTGTGTTACTTCGACCTCCGCTGGATTCAATGGAACTGGCTTATTTAGCAGTTCATGAAAGTATTCTGCCCATCCTTTCCTCTGTTCTTGAATCTCCGTGATAGCCTTTCCTTCTTTGTCCTTGACTGGTCTCTGTGGTTTGTTATATCTCCCTGCCAATTTCTTCGTAGTATCATATAGTTGTTTCATATTCCCTTCTCTCGCAGCTTTTTCTGCCATCGTTGCTAGTTCTCCCATGTATTTCTGCTTGTCGGTTTTAATGTTTTTCTTTGCTTGCTTGTTTGCTTCTGCGTACTCTGCTTGTGCCTTGACTTTCTCTGTTCGTGTTCGACTGTTGTAAATTGCTGTCTCCTTGTTCTTCCTTTCTTAAATCTTGTCCAGGGTTCCCATGTAGATCCATTCCTTATGATGATGCTTCCTGCCACCCAGAACCTCCTGACATGTTGAAGTTAGTGCTTCATTTATCCTTTTCCAGTCGTCCTCCATTGTAGATTCTTGTCCTTTCAGTAGATCATGTAGAGCTTGAAACAAATATGATACAAATATGATCTATCTGGTCCTTAATGGCATGAAGCATTGTTTTGTTTCTTTTACAAAATTGTGATCGTAAAAAATGGTTTATTCATGCAATTTCAGGTTTCCAACAGTAGTCTAAGAAGAATTTGAAGCTTAATAAATCGGTCACCAAAGTATCAAGCTAATAACTTTTTCTAATTTACATTTACTATTTAAATATTTAATAGTAGTATATGTTTTCTGTTGCATTTTTGCAATGGTATATACTTCGCCTTACACACAAATGTAGTCTAATTTATAGAATTGCACATTCAGGAATAATATGAACTGAGCTTTTCAAACAGTCACATTTCATTTCAGAAGTCATCAGGAACTTGCATTCGTTTTGGTTACACATGTGGAGTTACCTGGGCAAACAAACTTAGTTAACTGCAACGGAACTTTCTGTTATTATCAAAAAGATAGGTTAACACCTTATTAACAAGCGTTTAAATCTTTAATCTTTAACAAATGAATAAAAAAGGAGCCATCATACATTGAAACCACAAGTTGAACAAAGTGTTTATATGCTATGTAATTGAGCTTCCACGTCGACTGAACATGAATCGTTTATCGATCCTATCTAACCGTTTGAATGAGAAAGTGAGGAAGGTCATCTAAGAATATTTCCTTCTGATTATAAGCAATGAGATATAATTATATGGGTAAAAATCCGATCGATGAATAAAATACATACCTTATAATAGGGACCCCTCTTGTAGATCTTCTACAGTTACTGCTGATCAAAACCCGGGTAAATGAGTGTTGGCATAGAGTCAGCAAAACTATCTCATAGAAAACGACGTTGCGAAATACTGCTAAACGAAATGAGCGATTTAAAACACATAAACTCTGTCCTGTGAATTAAAAGACTTTCATTGAGAAGAACTATGACGCCTCATGATAAAAGCTGAGACTCTTCCGAAGTCACGAGGCCTATGTCCCTTCTAACAACCAGAGCAGCAATCTTTATGAGTACATGGAACGTCAAGACAATGTGGAAGACCGAGAGGACCAGTCAAATAGTAACGGAAATGAAAAGATACAAATTGGCAATACTTGGAATCAGCGGAACTCGATGGACAGCAAAGGCTAGATATGGGATGGATGACGCTGTACTCCGATCACGAAGATGAAAATGCACCACACACTCAGAGAGTTGCTCTGATTCTGTCCAGAGAAGCACAAAATGCTCTCACGGATCCAGGATCATCAAAGCACCATTCAAAACAAGGAAAGAGAGAATCACGATGAATGTTACCAAATTTCATGCACCCAATAATAATAGCGACGATAACAATAAAGATCAGTTCTACGGGAGGCTGCAATAAATCATAGCGAAGTGCTCAAGAAAGGATCTGACCATCCTGATAGGAGATCTAATTGATAAAGTCGGAGTGGACAACACAGGATATGGAAATATAATTGGACGACATGGACTAGGAGAGATAAATGGAATTGGTGAGAGATTTGCAAACCTATGTGCATTCAACAAAATCGTTATAGGTGGCACAATATTCCCACACAAACGCAAACACAATGTTACATGAGTCTAGACGGGTTACACTACAGAGAACTAGATAGGTCATATTTATATCAAAAATTTCAGAAGGTCAATGCAGACGTGAGAATCAGGAGGGAGAGGAGCTGACATAGCTTCAGATCACCTCCTGGATGTGACCATGATGGAACTAAAGCTGAAGAAACACTGGAAAATTGGGGAACAACATTATAAAGGTTCAATACAGTCTTCCTACGATATACTAATAATTCATGATAACTCAACAACAGGTACCAAGCCGTACTGGACCTACTGAAAGAAGAAGAAACTACTGTGGAAAACAATTGGAAAGGGATCAAAGAGGCATTAACTTCAACATGTCAGGAGGTGCTGAGCCGCAACAAGCATCATCATAAGGAATGGATCTCTATCGAAACCCTGAACAGAACTCAAGAAAGGAAGAACAAGGAGACAACAATTAACAATTGTCGAACAGGAGCAGAGGAAGCCAAAGGCACAAGCTGAATACACAGAAGCAAACAAGCAAGTGAAGAAGAGCATTAGAGCTGACAAGCAGAAATAGTCGGAAAAAGCTTCAAGAGAAGGAAATATGATACAACCATATGACACAACGAAGAAACAAGCAGGGAAATATATTAAACCAGAGAGACCGATCAAGGACAAAAAGAGCAAGACAATTTTTGGGATGACCCTGCAACTTTCTCGCAAGTGACATGACAAGCTCATGAGTCATCAAGGAGCATTTCAACCAATCAGCGATTAATCAAAAGTTATGTGAAGCTGTGTTACTAAAATAACGAAAATGGAAAAGTCACATGTGGAGATCCTGATTGGCTGATTAATACACTGCTACTATATTTAGCAGTATTCTAGAACTTTCAATAAAACTCAAGAACTCTTAAATTACTATAAAATCCCTATATTTTCTGTACATGAATGAACCCTGTAGTAAAGTGCTTCCCGCACACTTTGTGCATTTTCTCTGGTCTTCAAGTCACTCAGTAGTTCTAGCTCGGGGGTTACGGAACTAGCTTAGGGACGCGAATATAGCGTTCAATCTACGAGACGTAACAACAATCACCGATATTCAAGAACAGAGGAATAGATGGGTAGAACACTATGAAGAACTCTTGAACGGACCGGCTCCATTGAATCCACAGGATATCGAAGCAGCACACACAGACCTTCCTATTGCTGGCACTCCACAGACGACCGAAGAAATCAGGATGTCCATCAGACAAATCAAGAGTGAGAAAGCAGGAGGGCCTGATAATATACTAGATGAAGCACTGAGGTCACACACAGAAGTAACTTCAAATATACTCCATGTTCTATTCAGAAAGAGCTGGGAAGGGGAACAATTGCCACAGACGGACTGGGAAGAAGGAAACCTCATCAAGATACCAAAGAAAGGAGATCTGAGCAAGTGTGAGAACTACAGAGGCATCACACTACTGTCAGTGCCAGGAAAAGTTTTTAAGTGTTGCTGAACCGGATAAAAGACTCGGTAGATGCCCAACTTTGAGATCAACAGGCTAGATTCCGTAGTGATCGGTCGTGCACAGACCAAATCGCCAAATATATATATATATATATTAACAAGAAAGGTAAAAAATAATCAAATAAAGCAACCATAGCATTGCAATTTTTTTCAAGAAAGATGATGTTATTATTTGTTTAACAGGTCGATCGTCAGCAAAAGGTGATCCCATTATTAAGTGGCTTCACATTGTTCATGATATCCTAGTATCAGGAGAACAGATTGTTTATAATCGTAGCTCATTCTTCTTCAGCCTAAGAAAAGCTTATAACTCAACCTAATAATGCATTCCTTGCTATTGTTATAGAAGAAACACTTTTGTGATAGCTGATAAGTAAAGTTAACAGCTGTTTAGTCAATAATGTTTATTTTGTTAAAACAAAGGAAACTTCATTGAGGCACTATGTTTTTACAAAATTCGTGATCATAAATTCAGCCATAATTATATTCGAAACAGTCAAGTCTATTGATTTGGTCTACTTACTAAAACACCAAAGAGATTTACATGGTAAAACATTCCCATTTATTTCGTCTCATTTATTAAACGTCTGCTTTATATGCTTCAGCATGGATATAATTTCATCGTTTCTAAATAACATTTCATGTTATCTAGAAACAATGTTGAGTTTTATACTTATCGCTTAATTTTTTGTTACTTATTAACGAGAGGTTTTTATGTTATAAGAAATATTATTCTCATAAAATATTGTGATCAAACTACTGATAATTTATTTATTTATTTTTGTTGTTGCAATAACTTAGTAAATTTGTCAGCAAAATCATAAAAATAATATACGGGATTTTATTGACTACTATGGGGTTTCTATTAGTATGTATACAATTCAATGGAAAGAATTCAGAATCAATTATTTTAGAAGTGAGTTATATTTGTTACAACTATTTGTTTTTGTAATCCCATGTAAATTTAATGGCAATTTTAATACTCTATTCACATAAACATTTTCTAAAATATGTTTAGATGTTTTAGTCTTTTACTACACTGGAAATCAAATTGCATTGTCTTAGGGTTGGTATATAAAAAACAAAAAGTTGGTGAAATCTGTTAACTGGTGTTATCAAAAGCATATTACGAAACAATTATAACAGATGAATTTAATTTTGTTCATTGCAAACACCTTTAAATATTTATTCGAGAAGGATAATTAATTTCATAACTTTCATATCGTATGCATTTTCTGAAAAAAAGAATAGTTCCTTCTATTACAAATGATTTTCCATTTCCCTACAGTGAATGAAAACCAGTAGATTAACTGTTTAAAATCAAACGATTTATTTCACCAAAGTTTGTTAAAGATCGGTTGTGTTAAATAAAGACATGTAGTGTTTAGATGAAACTATGATTTTTATGTGAGATAGCATTTTAACAATACCATACTCTTTTTATTCAATTTATAACAATTAACAAAACAGTTTTATACAATCTAGAGAATGATTCCCAACATCAGTGATGAAATAAAGTAGAATAAAATCAAAATAGAAATAAGATTGGAATTAGTGATGATTTTGGCAAAATTTCAAATTTGCCATGGATTAGTGAGTGAAAAATTGTATATCAATAAAGTTCACAGATTTATTTTGTTACATTCAAAATTATTATTTTGTATAGACTGATTTTTATGGATATTTCAGATTTATTGGTTTATTGTTTTAATTTTTTACTACGAAATCAAATAAATGTAATTTATCAGAAGGGGTTTTGTGGAGATTTTAGTAATTTTATATAGTTGAGAGCATTAGTTAATTGAAGCTAAACCATCATGAAAAACCTGGAAGCATTGGATGGCCGTTTCGTCCGATTGTGGTAGGTCCTGGGTTCCAATCTAGAGAGGCGGGATTGTGGGTGCGCACTGCTGAGGGTTCACACAATAAGGCGAAACGGCAGTCCAGTGCTCCCAGGTTTTCCATGATGGTCTAGCTTCAATTGACTCATTATCTCAACTATATAAAATGTAATTTACCTTAGTTAATTAAGTTATATTTACGGGTGATGCTTTTCATAAAGCATTTCTTTGTTGCTTCAGTTATATTAATTAAAAAATTGTTGTCAGTGTTTTGTGATCAGAAAACACTATTCTTTGTGTACAGTTTTATTTTATAAAATATTAAGATGAAAATATTACCTCGTTCAACATATATGCAAGTTAAAGTAATAAAATTTCAGTTTTACGAAATATCGGGTACATAATTCTTCCACCCTTGCAAGTACGTCCTACTTACATCTTACTTACATCTATTCCATTTTCAGAATTATTGTTTTAGATATTTCCAAAAGTCCTTAGAAGTCAAGGTCTTTAATTACTTTATCATTTTACACCTTATGGTCTCAGTGTCGTCCTTATTGGTCGTTTTCTCAGTCACTCTTTTCTTTAAAGGATGATAAATAGTCTTGATAAATAACCTACTAACTTTTTATCAATCAACTTTTGAATAGATTAGTAAACCGCACCATTAGAAATGAAACTTGACAAAGTTTTTGGGAACGTAAAATGTTTTAGGATATATTTTGTTTGTTTATTTTTGCTACCATTTAGGTCTTCCTCAACTTTTTATTAACTGGACAACTTTTACATTTTTTGAGCTTCTATGCTACAACGTATTTCAACGCTTGCCGTCCCTTTTATGACTGTTGTTTGATGAATAATAAACTTCAACATTTGCATTACTTTCCTTATCGTCGAAGTCGTGTAACCGACCAGTTTTTCACTCATAGACGGAATCATGTGAGGACTTATCGTAATCGAAAAAATGAGACTGTGGACAATGACAACAGCCAACTAGATATCAAACATCAAAGTAAGAAACTGTCATCTCCTAAGAGGCAAATTTTAATTTCTCGACCTGACGGTATGCAGTATTGTCAGCTTATGACCATTGATAATGCAAAAGACTTTAAGTCACAGTTTCGTAACATTAATCAAAAGAAAAGAATAACTACATATTTAAAAAATGTGAAAAATGTTCGTACTAATTCCAGGATAATTTTACAATGTGAATATATTATTTTAGGATTCTTTTGTGGTAAGTTATTCAAATTTATATTAAAATGCTTTAAATTTTTAAAGTATGAAATTATATTAGCGAAAGTGTTTTTAAATCTTCACCTAAATAAAAAACTCACAAATGATAGGATTCGCAGCTCTGAATGACGCATGGTGAGACATTCATCGCCATTTATTATTATGATATGAACAAGAATATATTGAAAGTTGAATAAATAATAGCGTTTGAGCAAAGAGCATCTAGAAACGTATGGATCGTCGAACTTCTCACTTTTCTTTAGAGTATGATAAATTCCACACAGGAGGTCAAACAGCACTTGTGTAATCAGGGTATCCGCTGAATATTTTCTAACGACAATTTTGTATCGATTCATTATTCTAAGGTATTTTCTTTGATATCGATTGATGCAAATCTATACAAATGACATATTTGTTTTAATATTCTCTAGTGTTTTTCAAATATTTCTCTTTACATTTGATTCATTTTAGTTGGAAGCTTAATAAGCATTATATATTATGGAGACAGAATAATTAAGTCATCTACAAGTATCTGGTACTCTTCAAATCATACAAATTCAAGAGGATATAATACAAACCATTTTATCAATGAGAATGTTGATCATCACCATGTAGATGAGAAAAAATATCTATTAGGAAGAAAGACCCCTATGTTTGCAGATAACAATATCTCAAATCTACTTCCCTTAATAACTAATAGTTCAACAATTCCTACAAGTAACTCATTCATTTTTAATAGGATTAATAGTTATGGTACTATTTTTAATTGTACAGTATCTCATAATAAGACAAATATAACAATTGATAATTCATATACAAACCATGATTTTCATCAGATCACTTATGTAAACTGGTTAAAATTAATTAATAATGTATTGTGGGTTCTTCTACTTGTCATACAAATACCAATGATAATTAAACTAAAAAAAGTAAGTCATTCAAACAAAGAATAAAATTATTTCGTGTTATACTATTCGAAATATGTGACTTAATGGGACCGTTGTTTAAGATATTTATTGAAACAAACACTGTTATTTAAGTTAGCTTGCAAACCAATCCTCTAGGATTCTGACAAATCGTAGCTACACTAAGATTGTGCCTTATAATGAAAACTGAAATAATTCAATAAAGACAAAGTTCATCAGAACTTTGATATATTATTGCAATAAATTTCTAATAATCTGATTCTTCATTTACATATGTAAATTAAAGGGTCAAATTAGACAAATTAGAAGATAAGAAGGAAGAATAAATAGTATGGTAAACAAAAATAATCAAAACATGAGTGATCAGATTGTTTGAAATTTATTACACTAATATATCACAGTTTCGATAAATTCCGTCTTTTATTTGTATTATCTAAAATTATGGTTGTCTAAATCAATAATGAATAATAGTAATGATACTAAAGGCAACTAAGTTGAAGTCATTGTCAAAAATATTTTTGACGCTAATCAGCATAAATTTACTGCAGTCTATATGGTTACATGATCTTAATAGATGTTACATAAAAATTATTCACAGCCGTAAAACACTTTTCCAGTTCTCTTTGATGAATAATTAAAAATATACCTAAAACATTTGAACCTTTATGAACTGCCCAGTATTCCAATAAAAAGGAATGAACTAAATTTTTATACAGGTTTTGCAGATGAAATTATGTATGTCGGGATAATCGAGAAACTGTATGGTGAATAATCAGAGGATCAAGGCTATGAAAATAGAATTCAATAGAAGTTTGGTAGATTGATTTCGCCTCTCATCCCAAGTATCATTTAAGTAGAAGTCAGCTAACTGATTATAAAGTCTCAATATAATTCAAATTACTCCACACTATGTCTGTTTGTTTCCTTCAGTTGTGTCACTAATGTATACAACTACTCACCAAAGAATATCTCTGAGGTGAAACAACGAGTTTTTTTTAACGAGAAACGACTTTTCAAAGCCAAACAATGTAAATAAGTTATTTTCACTTCAAGGGCTTATGTGTGAATAAAACACATGATCTTAGCTTACACTGCATGTATATTTGACTCGTTTTTGTTTTATTACATTGTTCGTTTCAGACAGATTTATATAGCACTGTAAAATCCTACAGAAAGTGTACGTGTTCACGTGCTATAATTTACATTTTACATGAAAAGAGAAGTGAAGGGTGTTTTTACTTCATGTTGTGTGTCCCGATTTCAGTTTTTAAATCATTCCGTCTCCTATTTTTACTTATAGATTTTTCCAAAAAAATTGAGAATATACAATGGATTGCCGTTTGTACATGTTATAGCCGCCAATCTAACCGGTTGGTTCCGCATGGCATATGTAGGAACGGAAAATTACCTCAGTTACTATCATGAATCTAAGTTAAACAAAGCATATGAAATTAAAGGTACATCGAGTTAGTCTACGACTCCATTGTTTTTACTTGTTTTTAAATATCAAACAACATTTAATACAATATCAAATTGTTGTCTTGACTCCACTGAATATTCAATTTGAAATCAAACCATATATTCTTGTTACAGCTCGAGTTATACTAGACTGTTCAACTTTTAGTTACGTTAAGAATTTGACACTAACTGCTGTTGGCCAAATATTTAAATTGCATTCTATGCTGAATGGTTAAGAAACAGAGTTACAAACAATTTCAAGCTCCTCAATTTATCTTTCGCTATCCACTGAGACAATCAGTATTTTGTTAAAGACAGTATAAAAACATTTTGTTATGACATTTTAACATCTATAAGATCTTAATGACTCATTCTTACGAGCTGATGAAACATGATTTCAGTCTTTAGTGACCGAGGTTTTTCTATCTCTGTAGTCTAATATATAATCTGTTATTTGATGAGTTAATTAGTGCGTCTGATTAAAATTATAGAGGCCAGAATAAATGCGGGTATATTTTGTTTTAAAATAATAAATAAAACGATTTATTTGTCACAATTTTCAAAGGTAACCTTCAGCTAATATTTTCATTTCTATTGGGAACCCGTACTTAAAAAATAAGCTCCTTAGTTCTAAACCCTAAAGAATGAATTATATCCCTCATGATCCGATCGAATTTACTAAAGTTTAAGTCCCAATTCATTTTAATAAATAATTACGTTATCGATCTAGCTGAAACGTTTCAAAACTAATCATCCTTCTTTAGTTTTATAGACTTACATTTTTAAGTCTCTAAAACCTATACAGCTATTGTATTTCAGTAAATCAGCTAATTAGGAACGAGAACAAATTGTCATGTTTCACACTTAATAATAGTGGAGTACAATATTATTTACCAGTATTATAAAGTTTCCCGAAAAAGATGAGTTGTTCAGATGAAAGCTAACCAAGAGCTTATAGACTATTAAGAATATTACTTACCTATTTGTGTTGACATGAAAACAAATGGAATGATTAGCGTTAATTTCCTCTGAAAATTGATTTACATCTGAAATTGATATGGTCATACACGTGAAATATATTCCAAATGATAGTAAAAGAAACAAATCATTTTGTTTGCCTAGGTCACTTGACTTATCATTTTGTGTTCCGCTTTGAGTATAAAATCATAATGGATAAGAGTTATCTTTATTGTAGAAAAAATAAATAAACGGACAATAATTCAGATGCAATTTTGAACATTAGGGATAAAACCGACAAACCAATTTATCCAGTTCTATCATCAAATGTACATTTCGATACAAAGTGGTAGCTAAGTTCAAACTATTTATGTTCCAGCGGTTGCTAACTTCTTCAGACAGAAGTTCATGATATCAAGAAAACATGATTGCTGTTGTATTAAAGCTAATTGAACTACGAGCGATAATTTCTTAGCATAACTACGTTGTAATGTTTCAGACAGAATATTTTGACATATCGTTTCTCTTGTGGTTTCACTGTCGTTTAAATGGTCTGCTAAAAATATGTAACGACGTTGTCAAGCATACAAGGAAGGATATTTTACTAATTTTGTAATTACCATTTATGAAAAATTATGTAATCAATACTTCTGGTAAAGTAATATCTTTCATAAATTAAGGTTCCTTGGATAGTAAAAGAGTGACTGCCTTCGTTTGTTTAAATTTACTACTAAATATGCACAAAAAATTTATGGTGCTGATAATACTTCTTTATTGCGTTTGTTTTATTTGTGATCGCGAATGTGAACAATAATTTGGTGTAGTTTCTATGGTCAAAATCTTTAATTAGCCAGGTACATGGGACTTGATAGGTATACAATATAAATACTTGAAATCTATTTTCTGAATTATCTTCAAATCTCCCATTTATTTTGAATCTATTTTGCATTAATAGTAATTAGAGGATGATTCATTAGAAAATAAAAATAAAAAATGTTTATTCTAGCTTGCTTACTAACAAAATTTAAGTAGCCGAATTATTAAATAAACAGTTCTAACAAAATAGAATTTGTGGTGCTGGATTAGTGAATTTTTTGTTATTTTTATGTATACACATATTGTAATGTCATCATTGTGTGGAATTAAACTGTTGTCTACTTTCAGGTAACTTTAATAGACTGTTAGTTTTGAAAGTTATACAAAGTCCATTAGCCTATCTTCTAAATTGCGTCGCTTGCTCACATCTTCTGGTTGTAGGTAAGTCCAAATTTTACTATGCATCTAAAGAAAATGTTTTTAAATGAGGTTTACTACAGCTTAGTATCTTTGAAGTTATTAATGATGAAGCAATAATTTTGATTCACTACAACAAATTAAAATTACATTTCAAAAAGTGATATTTCAGACCTGCTGCCTTATAATATCATGATAATACTCATCCACAACGACCTTTTTACTATTTTAAAGAAAATGACCAGTACATTTTCTGTGGAAAAATGTAACGAATTTCTTATATTGTGATCAGTGCATGAAAAACTGGTCTGCTCATGCCATAGGTCTCCAGGTTAGTTGATAGTACCTAAAAATTTTAATTATGAATACCGTCAAATCATATGTACACCAACTAAACAAAAATAAATCGTTGCTGAAAAAAAGGTGTGTCTCAGAGTTATTTACTCGTTAAATAATGCACTGCTTTTGGTTTCGGTAAAAAGTAATTAATTGAAAAGAAATTTCTTCACTCGATTTGTTCTATTCACCAGAACTCAAAGTGGAAATTTTCACTTGTGGTTGGTCATTTTTAACTTTACCATGAGGCATAGCATAACAAATAAGTTCTAAGTTACTCCTCGGTAGCTTTTTTCTCATCATCATATCCTTTTTTGGTTACAGCCTTTATTTAATAATTCATTATCAGATTATCAGCTGTTTTCAATAATGGAGCCTAATGACTGATCAGTCATTGTTGTGAGGAAGGTAATCATATATTGACTTATTTAGCCCAAAAATGATGCATCCTATCTGATAATTTCTTTTGAGAATTAAAAATAATTACCTTCGAAAAATCATCTGAGGATAACCAAATTACAATCTAGGCAAATTTTAAATGCTGCTTGAAATCACTAACGTTCAATTTTATATTCCATTAGATAAATAATAAACATAATAATCTCAATCAATTATGTATCAGTGGGTTGTTCAACCCTCTTACACTTCAGGAATTGAATTAGAAAAGAGTTTTGAAAATGATTTCAATTTACATCCTATCTTAACACTTTCAGGTTTTCAGTATAAAGGTTGTTCTTGAAATTTTAATTTTTGTCCTATTTTCAAATCCCCCTTTAGAGATATTTGTTGTTGATAAAAAGAGATATTTTGAGCAATTTTGTGAACCAGTTTTTTATTTATTCCTAAACAAAAATAACAAAAATCCTCTTCAAATGCATCTTCATACTAAAAAGGTTAATGATTTCAGAATAACTGAAAGATTACCTTTTCAACGTCACTGGATAAAATGAGTTTCGATTTAATGGTTTCATTTTTGACTGAGCGAAATAAGGCAAAATAAACATGGAATGAGTACGGTTGTTTGTCAACAAAATGTTCATATTACGAGTATGTTTACTGTTTTGAAATTAGTCTAAAATGAATTTTTTTTACTTTATTTAAAGAGAGAAAATTTGTTAACTGGTGAAAATGTATATTTTGTATTTACTAATGAAAAAGTAATTTTTTACTTTCTTGCATTTGCTTGTGAACTATTTCAATGAAACAGTTTTGATCTGGATCAGTTGGGACGTTCGAAAACTAATAAAAAATCTTCCGAATTCTGAAAATATACCTAAGAAAATTCGTCTTGTCCATTGGGCGAAAGAAAGCAATTCATCATCTCCTAACCATCATAAAAATTCAACAATTTCTCGTATGTCGCGATCACCATCAAATTATAATAACAAATTTTACTGTCGTTGTGAAAGGAAATCTTCCGTCTGTGGATTATTCAGCTTTTTGTCAGTTATCATTTGTGGTATACATTTGTTTGCTTATAGGCTGAATGAGTTTTCACGAATACTTCTATGTTATTTTAGTTATTTTCTAATTTTAGTATCTACAATCACACAAAACTTTTTATTGGTTTATTGTTCAACTTTTGGTAAACATTCAAATCGAGATTATAATTATTCTCGTAAATTTTCAAATGATCTCATTTGGTTGAAACCAAACTTACTTTACTTTCCACTTCTTTTTCAGTTAACTGGTTCGATATGTTTTAATTTAATGCAAGTTATTGAGATTTTATTAAAATTCACAAATGTATATGCCAAAGATTTTGATGCTAACTCTTCTTTTTTAAATACATCCATTACACGTGATTCTTTGTCAACTCATGCTATACACCAACGTTATATGAATAATCAGTATCGTTATGTATCCCATCAAGAATTATTTTTGAAATACGTCATTCTTTTTACACTTTGCATAGAAGTAATAGAAAATTGTATTGAGATAATATGCATCCCATTAATCATGGTAAAATATTTTTTACATCGAATTGCTAAACCTACATTTTTTACTAATTTAGTGATTAATTTATTAACCAATGAAATTTTTTTATTATTAATGAAATTTTTTAATCCACAATTATTGAGTTTGGGGGATGACTCTATTTTGAACTGTTCTATTAACTATTCAGATAGTCATAATATGACTAACAAAGGTACCACTGGTAGTATTAATCGTCTCCATGATGATACTTATAAAATTTTAGTTCCAGGCACTAATATTGTTGTTAATAGTCAAACTAATTTTATGAATGAAAATAAAACAATTGATGAAATTTGTAATCTAGTACAATTTTCCATAGTCAGAACTAATTGGTGGTATTGGATATTTATAAAACAATTAAGTTATTCCATTTGTATTATATTTCGACAATCTATGCTGATATGTTGTGGATTTTTATATTTAAGTTAAACAATGAAATTAAGGAATGAAGAGAAAGTTTTATATGTTTGTTAAAACACCACCCTTTTTTAGAGAAAAATTACATAACAACTTCCTATTGTTTACAGGTTTTTTGTAAAAACTGAAATGTGTTCCACGATAAACTTTTAAGCTTTCATTCATTGTATATTTACATGGTTTTGCTAAATTGTTTTCACATTCGTCAATTGTGTATTTAGTCGTATTACTCTAAAATTTGCATTCATTTTCAATTTATAATGTGTTGTTTTTAAAAGTTGTAATACAAAGATGTAAAATCTTAGGATAAACAACTTTTCAAAAGAATATTAAAAGTGATATTGTTGATCAATAAAAGAAGTCAAATATAAAATAATGAATTTATTATATGTTTAAAATGAAAGTAAGTAATCCTAGTTCCATGGATAAAAACTGGGAGAATATGTTTATATCGTGGATTTTTAATTCAAACTTATTTTTTTTTTTAAATACATATAATTGTAAATTCAGTCTTTTAAATATCTACCTGAAGTTTGTGCTGATGTTGTTCTTCAGAAGAACAATGAAAGTTTCAAGACCAAACCATCCAGCTCAGAGAACAAAACTCCATCAAATGTTTATCATTATATATCAATTAGCTGACTATAGTGAGTTTAATTAACATAACAATATAAAGGAGTTTACAGTGAATCATATCTGTAGGCATTTCTTTTTTTATCTTGTAAATCTAAAAAAAATCCACAACACAACTGAAATCTCTATTTTTTCATGCAGCTAAACCGCTTGTTCAGTTACCACTATTCATTAATTTACAAGACTCAAGTTTTATTGGGTTCTTTATTTTTTAGAATGTCTCATTTTTATCCCTGAGTTTTCAGAAAGATTTCATAAAATGAAAATTTTGACATGTAAAGTGATGCGTATAATTATACTGACTCTGTCATTTGTTTGTGAGTATACCGTAATGGCAATCTCTTGGAAATAATCATAAAGTTAATTTTTGTCGGCACAAATATTGTTTGATGAATCTATATATAAGATTAGTGACTTGTGTTCTGTTATAATGAGAAAGATTTAGACTTGTAAATGCTTTTACTATAAGATATTTCCTACCAAAAATGCGATAAGATGTTACATTTACAAATACATTTACAGACAAAGGAATTTTCTTATCGGCATTTTCATGTGAACATTACCGTAGTCATCCGTTCCTAAGCAAAACAATTTAGTCCAAACTTACAGAAGATGATAACTATTTTCTGGTTTATTTGGGTTTATGAATATTTATTTTGTTATTGAGAAACAAGTATAACTAATCGCTTTGGTCTATGGATCAGAATGATTGTGTAAGGTGAAACTGCATTACTGCTTTTTATATGAAAATGAATGACAACAAAAGCGTAAGATTGTCACGGTAAGCATATACTTTATGTTTGAAATATCGTCAGAAAACAATAATTTCAACGCAGCCTAAAGGTAAAAATAACACAAAACTGAGACAAACCTCTCATACGCTTTCGAAATTACTGTATGTTTCTATGTACAAAGAACTAGATTTTTAGTCTTAGTAACTTATAACAATGAGCGTCTTCAACGTATCCAATATCGAAAAGTCATATTGCCAGAAAATACCAACATTAAAGTCACATCATATTTGGCAAAATAATAAGAAGGCATGGATTTTGATATCTTATATTCCGATTTCATGGACTGAATATGTTTATAAAGATTGATAGAAATAGTCTGAAAATACATTAAAAAAGAGTTTTGTTGATTTTTGTTATTTAGGTTCATTCACTATAGAATGATCAAGTCCGAAAAACTTAACAAACTGAAGTCAATATGCCATTACTTGTATAAATGAATATTATTAGTGACTAACGACTGATGTTATTCACTTGAGAATTCTTTACAGATCGTTCCTGACCAATTAACATTAACTTCTGACAGTCTATTTCATATGCGCTTACTCTAGAAAATTCATGGCTGTTGACTGAATTAAAATCTTCTCATCAGTCGTTTTATTTTTTCCATAGTTATCGATTCATGTGTTAATAAACGAATGAGCGAAATACTAGAAAAGATTATTTTCCGTTATAGACGTAAATGTCTTTCTAAAGAGTCATTTGACATTCCAGTTTTATGTATAAATGAAGCCCCCTAAATTGCAATTATAAAGATGCTAAAAACGGTCAAAAGTTATTCAGTTTTTGGACTTTTGAACTTCACTCATATTCCTTCTTTAGATTCCATAGGATACTGATTGTCTGTACTGGTCAAATATCAGCAGGCTTTCAATCCAAACTATGCTAATCATGTCTCGTCGATTTTATCGACATTTATTATCATGAACGTTATTTCTATCTGCTGTAAAATGAACCTATCATTAGCTTCTATCCATGACGGGATAATAAAAATTAATAAATATTTCTTAATGCAGGAATGTCTTTGCTCCCAAGGGATCAACTTCAGACTGTTTAAAACGTATTAAATGAACAAATATATTCTGTTGGATTTACTTTATAACTATTTGTAAAGTGACCTAGGCTACTATAGCATTCTACAGCTTACCCATTCTCGTAAAGTTAAAAATATATATATACTCAAACTTGCTCATAACGTGTTCAGAATGTTCAATTTTATACATAATGAAAGTGAAAGAAAATTTTAGCACTAATTCTAACAAGTCACAATTAAACTGTTGCTGTTGTGAATGAGAACACGGGTGAGGACAACCAACTATGTATTTAGCGCAAATTACAACGTTACTTGGTAAAATACAAAAACCATGCTATGATACACTATTTGCAAAATGTTCTTCAATTGCCTCAGACTTCATTGTTCCTGGATTTCCACACAAATTGCTTTTTATTTCTGTTCTTCTCTTCTTGATCTTCTCAATCTTCTGCTGTCAGATATTCTATTCCTTACTCACCATATATACTACTTATATCGATATCAGTAGCTCACACCACACTCGTCCCCCCTTTTAATAAGCTGTTCTCGCAATCTTTCTGATCGCCGTACCATTGTCTCCTTTGGTGCTGTTCGTGACTCGTGCTCATGATGTTCCTGAAACCATCTCTGTAGTTGACTGGCATTTACACGCTTCTGCTTGTCTTCTCTCCGGATCGTGTAAACTGGGCCGCGTCTCTCCGTGATAATGTACGGTCCCTCCCATTTCGGGGTCAGCTTTCCTGACCCTGGTCCCCCTTCAGTGTTAGCTCTCCGTTCTCTACACTTTACCAGGTCCCCCACTCTAAAAGGCTTCCATGCTCTTCTCTGCTGTTCCACCTTCTTGGTGTCTGATATTTGTTTCTTTTTCACGTTCTTTATTGCCTCCGTCCTCTCTTTCCTTAATCTTGTTGCCGTCCACTTCTGCTGCTGTGGCCACGTCATATTATGCATAGGAAGTCGTGGCTGTCTACCATACATAAGTAGGAAAGGTGATTTCTTAGTTGTTCCTTGGATGGAGGCACGATGCGCCAGCAAAATTAGTGGTAACTCTTTCTCCCAATTCCCTCCTTTAGATGCTAACCATTCCTTTAATGTCCGGTTGTTTCTTTCCGTAAGCCCATTCGTCTGAGGGTGATACGGTGTAGTTCGTATCCTCTTGATACCGAACTGCTTCAAACGGGCCTTAAACTCGTCACTTTCAAAACAGGGACCCTGGTCGGTTAGTATCATCTTCGGTACTCCATGACCTGCTACAATGTGCCGGATTATTACTTCGGTCACTGTTTTCGCCCGCTGGTCGGCAATCGGTACAGCGTCGACCCATCGTGTAGCATGTTCCGTCATAACTAGTAAGTATCGGTTGCCGCTATCCGTCTGTGGAAATGGTCCCATCACATCTACCGACCATAGATCACCAACTGCGGTTACTGGGACCGACTGCAATGGCGGTTGCATGGATCTATCGCTTTTCATTAATTGGCACTGCTGGCACCTCAACACATATTGGGCCACATCGTCTCTCATGCCTGGCCAGTATGCACTTTGCCGTAGTAAATCTGTCGTTCTTGCGATACCAGTGTGCGCTACCTGATGGCATTCGTGTATCATCTTACGCCGCCAGTCTTTCGGGATCACAGCCACCCAATTTTTGTCATCATCCTGCCAGACCAGAGCTCCATATGTGTTCACTTTCAGTCTTTCCTTTTGCCGAAGCAACATTATTGCCTCCTTGTCCATTGCTCGTTTGTCAAAATCTGCCCCCTCTCTTATCACTCTGATTACCTCTCGCAGTTTAGGATCAGATTTCTGTTGCCGGACGAGTTCTAGTGGGTCTCCCTCTATACTGTTCACTGCGTATGCTGTCAATGGAAGCTCGGCTTCCATGTCTGTTCTTGACAGATAGTCCGCCATCACGTTTTCCTTCCCTGGAACATGCCCGATACTGAAGTCATACTCCTGCAGACGTATCATCCATCGCGCCAACTTCCCACGTGGGTCTCGTGCTGTTTGTAGCCACTGCAGAGGTTTATGGTCAGTCTCGATGTGAAATCGTTTACCTAACAGATATGGTCTCCACTTGTCTACTGCCCACACAATCGCTAAACACTCCTTTTCGATCGTTGAATACTTCTGTTCGGCAGGCGTGAGAACGCGACTTGCGTATTCCACTACTCTATCAGACTGACTTAAAACGGCACCTATACCATGGTCACTTGCGTCTGTTGTCACTGTAAACGGTTTCTCCAGTTCGGGCAGTCTGAGCGTCATCTGGCGGTCGTCCAGCATGTTTTTGATTTGATTAAACGTTTGTTGGGCGGTTTCAGTCCACGAAAATTTAGTGTTACTCAACAACTTATAAAGGGGTGCTGCTATTTCGTTGAAATTCTTGATGAACCGACTGTAGAACGCCGCCCTTCCCAGGAACTGTCTCAATTTCCTTTTCGAATTCGGTACTGCAACGTTCTTTATAGTCAGAATTTTCTCCGGCAGCGGTTTTATTTCTCCATTTCCCACTTTATGCCCCAACAACGTGATGCTACCTTTCGCCATCTGTG